AAACAAAAATAAAATAAAATAGGACAATTGAGATATAGGTCAAGAGGTAAGCCTAGAGTGAATCTTTACCAGAAAAAGCACAGAAATATTGCCTTTTTTCAAGAAGATCATAATCTATGTCACAAAGTAGTCATATCAAGTATGAGTGAGGGTCAGTTGCAATGGCTCACACTAATAATCTCAGCACTTTGGGAGGCTAAGGAAGGAGTATTGCTTGGGCCCAGAAGTTCAAAACCAGCCTGGGCAACATAGTGAGACCTCATCTCTACCAAAATAAACAAAATTAGCTGAGTGTGGGGGCACATTCCCTGTAGTCCCAGCTACTTAGGAGGCTGAGGTGGGAGGATTGCTTGAGTCCAGGAAATCGAGGTTGCAGTGAGCCAAGATTGCACTGCTGCATTCCTGCCTGGGTAACAGAGTAAGACCTTGTCTCAAAAACAAACCAAAGAAAGAATGGTATTGATGCCCTGTGAGGGTTCAAATATGTGTGGATCTAATTTGCAAACAAATAGAGAATGACATTTCAAAGTTAGCTTTCAGTTCTTAAAATCCATAGTTATGAGATCTCCTATAGGTTTTAAGATAATGAGCCTGAACAAAAGGATAAAACAAAAAAAATCAGACCTATTCTCTGGGAATGTATGCTGTCTAAAATCATACCTCCTAGATTGTCAACTTGTGAGCTTTCAAAATTAAGCAGGGTTTGTACTTGAATAGAAGTCCTCCACAAAACACCTGCTCAAAGGGAAAACAGTAGCAACAGAATAGTTAGAGGTTGAAAGGAGTCTGGCAAATTTGTTTGTTTGTTTGTTTTGAGACGGAGTTTTGCTCTTGTTGCCCAGGCTGGAGTGCAATGGTGCCATCTCAGCTCACTGCAACCTGGGTTCAAGCAATTCTTCTGCCTCAGCCTTCCAAGTAACTGGGATTATAGGCGCCCACCACCACACCCAGCTGATTTGTATAGTTTTAGTACAGATGGGGTTTCACCGTGTTTTTTGAAAAAATAATTTAGATCTTTTTGCCTTCCTGAAGCAAACTCATGCTGGAACACTAGAAAGAGACTCTACCATGTTTAGAAATAAGCAAGCAAGCCAAAGAACTAAGGAGGCCCTGGTAGTGCATCATATTAGATAGAATGAAAGCAAAGGAGGATTTCATTTTGGAGAGACAGTCTGGAAAAACTTCTAAATCGTGGGCCAGACTTGTTGAGTTCTAGTCTCAGTTCTGTTACTAAGTGGCTGACTGACCCTGAGTAAGTCGGGATCTTGAGTTCCTCATCTAGAAAATTAGATATTTGGACTAAGTGACTGTCTTAGTCCATTTTGTCCTGTTTAACAATACCTGAGGCTGGGCAATATAAAAAGTAACGGGCATGTATTGGCTTATGATTATGGAGGCTGGGAAATCCAAGAACAAGGATATCCATCTTGTATAATACAGCAAGAATATATAATACACCTTGCTGTATTATAATGTGGAGGAAGGCATCACTTGGTTAGAGAGAGAGCAAGGAGGGAAAGTGAGTCCACAAAACTTGCTTTTATAACAAACCCACTTTCTTGATAATGAAACTGTTCCCAGGATAGCAACAGTAATCCATTCATGAAGGCACCTAATCACCTCTTAAAGATCCCAGCTCTCAACACTTGCATTGAGGATTAAGCTTCCAAAATATGAACTTTGGGTTATACATTCAAATCATAGCAATAATATTTAAAGTTTCTTCTACTTTTAAAATTTTGTGATATTTTTCTAGCCTAAATTATTCCTTGTTCCTGTAGTTCTTCTCTGTTGACTCACCAAATATTTATTTATTTAGTTAGGGTTTTTTTGTTTGTTTGTTTGTTTGTTTTGTTGTTGTTGTTTTTAAGTAGAGACGGGGTTTCACCATGTTTGCGTGGCTGGTCTTGAACTCCTGACCTCAAGTGAGCCACCTGCCTTGGCCTCCCAAAATGCTGGGATTACAGATGTGAACCACCATGGCCTGCCTCAGCAAATATTTATTGAGTACCTACTTAATTCCAGTACTGTGATGATGCTGAGAGTTCAAGAATGAGATAAACAAGACACATATTGTATGGTTTCATTTATACGAAATATTCAGAATAGGCAATTTATAAAGACGAAAGGTAGGTTAGTGGTTTCCAGCTGCTGGGGAAAGGAGAGAATAGGAATGACTGCTAATGGGCATGGGATTTCTTTTAGGGTTGATGAAAATGTTCTGGAATTAGATAGCGTTTGCACTATTTTGTGAATATACTAAATTGATGGTTTATGCTCTACTAAACAGATGGTTACACAATTTTGTGAATATACTAAAACCCACTGAATTGTACCTATTAAAAAAACTTTAAAAGCTGGGTGTGGTGGCTCACACCTGTAATCCCAGCACTTTGGGAGTCCAAGGTGGGTGAATCACTTGAGGTAAGGAGTTCCAGACCATCCTGGCAAACATGGCAAAA